TGTTGCTTACGCACAGGATGCCGCCGAGCTGATGGTTAGTATGTCTTTCTCGCCTGGAAGTTTTAATTCCTTTCCGAATGGCGTTCCTGCTAAAGCGTTGGCTCCATCTTGCTTTCTCAGCCCTTCCAAATCACGTTCCCGCTGTAGCGCTGACCTCGTTTCATTGTTTCAAACGTTCAAAATCATGTTCCTGCTGCAGCGTTGGACTATGTTCCGCGTTTCCGAGTTTCCAGTCCGTCCGAATCGTGCTCCCACTGTAGCGCTGATCTCGTATTGCGCTTCCCGTTTTCCAGACCGTCCATTTGCATGTCTCGTCCTGTGTGATTTCTGGCTTCGCTCTGACCTTGTTATCGACATGAATGGCGTTCTCGACGCGATGTCATGCAATGCCGTGCTATACCATGCGCCGCGCACTCTCTCTCGGGATCACGTTGCTCTGTTCGACATCCGACGCAATGGTAACGGATGGGCGGGAGGGCCAGGACGTCACATGTGACGTTGGCGCACCAAGCTCGACCTTGCCCCCCTTTTGGAGGCCTGGAAATGGGCACCAACACCAACACAGAGGGTTGCCTCCACAGGAAGAAGATGATCCTAGATTTCGGTGTTGGTGGTAATAGTTCGATCACCTTGGAGGCCAGAATATGACCACCATCACCGAGATCGGGGTCTTCTTCCCTCGGTGGAGGCACGCCGCCGATACTGGTGTTGGTGTCAATGTCTAAGCCCGCGACCCTTCCCTGCCCCCCCCCCTTCCGCCGCCTGCGGGCGGCCGGAGGAGTGCAGGCGCCCGAGTGCGGGCGCCTGCGCGGCGGCGGCGGAGGGGCCCAGGGGACACGGGGCAGGGGCCACGAGGGGAGAAGGGAAAAAGGAGGAGGACGGGGCAGGAGGAAGGAGGAAGAAGGGAGAAGGGAAAAGGGGGACGGGGGAGGAGGGAAGAGGGAGAGGGAGGGAGGACGGAGAAGGATGGAGCCAAGGGAAGGAGGGAGGAGGGAAGAGGGGGAGGAGAAGGAAGAGGAGAAGAGGGATTAGGAGGACGAGGAAGAGGAGGAGGAGGAGGGGAAAGGCAAAAGGAGGGGGTGAGCGGAGGGGAGGGGGAAGGGGAAGGGGGGAGGTGAAGGAGGAAGAAGGAGGAGGAGGAGTCAGGAGGAGAGGAGGAAGAGGGGGAGGAGAAAGGAGGAGGAGGAGGAGGAAGAAGAAGAGGGAGGAGGAGGAGGAGGAGGAGGAGGAGGAGGAGGAGGACTCCCGCGGTAACGGCCCCAGGCACGAGAGGCTGTGGCAGAGCGGGCAGCCCAAGCGGCGGAAGGGTTGCAGAAGGCACGATCTACTCGGACCCCTTCCAAGCCACAACGACCCAAACTACCCCAGACCTAAGAGGCTGGGCAGGATGAGCTGTCGAAGACAACGACTCCCTTCCCGTGCCCACTCCCTCCCAGGCCCAACAGGATCTAGAGGAGCGAGGGGAAGGGCAGGAGAAAGGAGGAAAGGCCCGAAGGGGAAAGCCGAAGAAAGGAGGAGAGAGAGAGAGAGAGAGAAAAAAAAAAAAACAAAACAAAAAAAAAAAAAAAAAACAAAAAAAAAAAAAAAAAAAAAAAAAAAAAAAAAAAAAAAAAAAAAAAAAAAAAAAAAAAAAAAAAAAAAAAAAAAAAAAAAAAAAAAAAACGCGCTCGATACCGGCCACGGCGCTTTCCATGCGGCATGGGCAACGACGACTTCGCAGAACTGACCTTTTCGGGCGCCAGCACGAAGCGAACCAGGGGCGGCGCCAGAGGCGCCTCTGGGTGGGGCCCAACGCTAACCCAGGAATCCCACCAGCCCTCTGGGCGTAGGTGGTCTAGGCCGTTTCCTTTTCCAGCCCCTTCTTCCTCTTCGGGGAAAGGTTTACCACTGTTCCCTATTAATAGACACCCCTTCCCCCAGGCGACTGGTAGCCAACCAGGAACCATGAGGGCACCCCCCCACCATATTTTTTTTCTTTTTCTTTTTTTTGTTTTTTTTTTTTAAAAAAAAAAAAAAAAAAAGAAAAAAAAAAAAAAAAAAAACAAAAAAAAAAAAAAAAAAAAAAAAAAAAAAAAAAAAAAAAAATGCTCCAATTAAATTGTCAATGCACACCCCACGCGGCCCCCCCAGCCCTCCCAAAAAACAATACAGAGTACACTTGGCGCGGCGCGGCGGCTGCGGCGGGCTGCGGGGCGGCGCCGCGGCGGCGTGGCGTGGCGGCGGCGGGGACGGCGACAGCGCCGCGGCGGCGGCTGCTGCGGCGGCGGCGGCGGTTGCGGCGGCGGCGGCGGGTGGCGGTGGGCGGCAGCGGCTGCGGCGGGAGCGGCGGCGGCGGCGGCCGCGATTTGGCAGCGGGGGGCGGCGGCGGCGGCGGCGGCGCGGCGCGGCGGGCCCGGCGCGGCGGTCGCCGGCGGCCATCGGGACGGCGGCGGCGGCGGCGCGGCGGCGGCTGGCGACGGGCCACAAGAAGAGGCGGCGCGGCGGCGGCGAGGGCGGCGGCGGCGGCGGAGGCGGCGGCGGCGGCGGAGGCGGCGGCGGCAGCGGCGGCGGCGGATTGGCCCCCAGAAGCTGCCCATCCAAAGACGACTGCTGAATATGCTGAGGCTGAGGCTCGGGCCAGACTCGGGTGCTACAGATGTGTTGGGTGGGCGGGTGGGAGTGAGCGAAACGGCTTGCGGGCGGGAAGGGAGTCTTGATCACTGTTCCCTATTAGTATACACCCCCTCTCCCAAGCGACTGGGAGCCCACCCGAGTCAATGAGGGCATCCCCCCCACCATCCTTCGTAAGAAACAAAAAAAAAAAAAAAACTCTGCCTCCAAATTCTCGGAACATGCGCAACGAACCCGATGCGGCCTCCCCCCACCATCCCTGTCAAAAAACAATGCAGAGTACACTTGGCGGCGGCGGCGGCGGCTGCGGCGGCTGTGGCGGCAGCGGCTGCGGCGGCTGCGGCGGTGGCGCGGCGGTGGCGATTCGGCTGCGGGGGCGACGGCGGCGGCGGCGCGCGGCCGCGGCGGCGGGCGGCGGGCGGCGCGGCGGAGCCGGCGGCGGACGGCGTTGGCGGGCGGCGCGGCGACGGCGGGCGGCGACGGCGGACGCGGCGCGCGGCGGCGGCGGCGGCGGGCGGCGGCGGCGGCGGCGGAGGCGGCGGATTGACCCCCAGTAGCTGTCCATCCAAAGACGACTGCTGAATATGCTGAGGCTCGGGCCAGACTCGGGTGCTAGGTATGTGTCGGGAGGGCGGGTGGGAGTGAGCGAGATGGCGTGCGGGCGGGGAGGGAGTCTTGATCACTGTTCCCTATTAATATACACCCCCTCCCCCAGGCGACTGGGAGCCAACCCAGGTCAATGCGGGCCCCCCCACCATCCTCTGTAACCATCCCTTGTCAAAAACAATACAAAACACATTTTGCCTCCAAATTCAAAACATGCGCGGCCAACCCGATGCGGCCTCCCACCATCCCTCTCAAAAAAACAATACAGAGTACACCTGGCGGCGGCGGCGGCGGCTGCGGCGGCTGCGGCGGGGGCAGCGGCTGCGGTTTCTGCGGCGGTGGCGGCGGCGGGGGCAGAGGCGGTGGCAGGCGCGGCGGCGGGCGGCGGCGGAAGCGGCGGCGGCGGCGGCGGATGCGCCCCCAGTAGCTGGCCATCCAAAGACGACTGCTGCATATGCTGCGGCTCGGGCCAGGCTCGGGTGCTACGTATGTGTTGGGAGGGCGGGTGGGAGTGAGCGAGACGGCTTGCGGGCGGGGAGGGAGACTCTTGACCTCTCCCGCTCCCCCCCCCCCCTGGACCTGGACGGGGGGGTTCGCGAGCGGTCGGGGCGTCCAACATGGCCCAAGAAGGATCCGAGAGGGCCTCAGAGAGCCCAAGATAACCTCCCATTCGTCTCCCTCTTCACAAGCAGCTCCGCCCACCCTCCGCTCGTGCAAATGGCGGCTGAAGGGATGCTTGGCTATATGCTGGGGCACCCCCGGTGTAGTAGCCGCCAATCCCCAGAGAAGGCGCCCGCACTGAACGGCGCGTTTTCCAGCACCCCACCGCATGCACAACGATGCTTCGAAAATTCGACGGGGGGGGAGACTGGGCGGGTGGGCAAATGGCTTCGAAACCTCGGTGAACAGCTCGGCCTCGAGCCACAATGCCAACGGAGGGTCCTTTCCGTCTCTGCACCCCCCACGCCCTCCAGTGCAAGGAGAGGCAATGAAACTAGCAGCATCATCGATGATACCCGCACCCGCACGGGCCTCCGGAAAAGGCAACACCTGAAGCCCGGCCCGCCCCAACTGGCCCAACCCAGACCCTGAGGCCCTGGGACTAGAGGCCTCCTAGATAGGGTCCGAATACATGGGGTCGGAGGATCGCGCCGCATCGGCGACGTCGGCGGTGCATCTGCGCCGTCGGCGTGGACAAATCGGGCTCCGCGTCGAGCCGCATCGCCGACGCATCGACAATACCGAGCGATTCTCCGACCCCGTCTGCTCCGACCCCACCTGGGGGGGCCTAGACGGACGGACCTCCCCCCGCCCCCCACCCACCCCAACACACCCACGCCCCACCCAGCCGGCGCCAAGAGTCAGAGCGCCCGCCACCCCCCGACGCCTCCCCGGCGCCCAGCACCACATCCGTCTGCCCCAAGAGGCACACTCGACGCCCGAGACCCGCCCTATGACGAAGCCAGGACGAGGATGAAATCGGGCGAGGATAAATCGAAGATCTCTGAAATCCGGCGGCTCTGGAGGATGTCTCGGGCGCCGCGGCCTTGCCAGAGCATTCCAGAACGCTCTGAAAGCGTTCCGAAACGCTCTGGAGCGGACTTATCCTCGTCCTGGCCCCGTTCGACGCCCCATCGCCCCCCTCCCCCCAAGCGCTCTGAGAGGATGGCCAGGGCAGACAGGCCACGCCCGTGCACCGGGGAGAAGAGGAAGAGAAGGGTGAGGGCAGTGAGAGGGAGCAGGAGCAGCAGGCAGGGGGAGGGGCAGGATGGGGGGAGGAGACGGCGGAGGAGAAGCGGCTGACGGCTGGCCAGCGGTCTCGTCACCGACTCGCTGTCTGGAGCGCCACTGAACGAACTAATATCGTCACCTACTCTGCCGGGTGGCATCCGCTTCGCCACGAATCCAAACTGCGTGTCACGTGCAGATTATAACCTCGGCTCTGCCTGCTTTCACCCACGGCCCTTTGCTGCTCGAGCGCCGCGCGTTCGCAAAAGCCAGACCTCGGCGAGCAAGCCCGTGCGGTGGAAGACGCGCTCAGAGAGGCTGGAGGCCCGCATCGCCGAGCGCCGTCGCGCGAAGGTCCAAAGTCTGGCAGCAGGTGAAGCAGGGCAGTGCGCCCACCGACAGATAAATCTACTCGGTGTTTTTGGCAGGTTCTGGCATGTGAGGACGAGGGTGCCTGCAGAAATGACGTCTAGCGTTTCCTTGTAGAGACGGGCAACCTTAGCCTGCCTCTTCAGACTTGCAATTCGTGAACGAACAGGACCTTAAGAGTGTGGCAAGAGCCTGCGGCACCACTAGAGGCAATCGAGCGCCTTGGTAGGCATCCAGAAAACCGAGCCAATACATGTGTGCAGAATCCTGCTCAACGATCCGACCGATGTCAAGCTGCTTGCTAGATGCCTTGCTGATACCCCTGATCGGCTTATCGAACTGGCACCAACCTCGGCCATCATAACACCAGGCTTCAAGGCCTCCTGATGGCATCGATGTCTACAATAGACGATCACGAGGCTGTGGCCGTAGATCACGTTTGCGAATCCGGGACCCAGTTCCAGGAGGCACTGCTGCGTATCATCTGTGGACCCTTGATACAAATCTGCGAAGCCCCAGAAGACGGCGATGTCGCGTAGCTCCCTGTACGTTCGAATGAACGTGGGCCGCTTCTTCAGGACCGCGGCCAAGATCCGCAGGTGGTGCCCGAGCCTGTCAGGATGACCCTTTCTCCAGCCAGCCATAGGACAGGGCGTGCACGAATTCGTGGCCTCCACTGCAGGCAGGGATGCTCGCGCAACGGAGGCACTCATCCGCGGTCCAAGAGGCCTCCTCTAGCAGGTCCTGGCGCCGCTCGATCCTGCCTCCCCGTTCACACAGATCCACCAGCAAATCCCCTCTTAAAAAGGCAATGGCGCCGTTCAAAAGGCACTCGCGCAAACCCTCCGCTCCAAAATAGGCCGTCGCACGGGCGGGGAGGCCACGCAGAGACGGCCTCCTGGGCAATGGTCGGCGAAAGGACGGCCTCTACGGAGGCGAGCCGCGGGCTGCTCACAACACGATCGATCGGCAAGCGTGCGACGGGGTCCGCCTTCAGGAGGCGCCGGATGAGATCTTTCGTTGCATGCGAGATGGAATCCCTTTTTCCCCCGTTAGCGGATAGTTATCCTGCGTGATTGTCCGTCGCACGTTCTGAAGAGACCCCAAGAAGTGAGGTTCACCTACCAACATTTGCCACGCCATTAGTCCGAGGGACCAAAGACCAAGTGCAAAGGAGATCTTCTTTGCTGCGTTATCGTCAGTCTCCGACGGAGGATACACAGCGTCAACGAAGACTGCTGGCCAGGGACCACCTCCGTAATCCGCCACCGTTCCCCATGGCACATTGAGGTATGGTAGAGTGCCAACTGCTGTCTGGTAGGGCCAGTCTGCTAGTAAGGAGCCCCCCCGTTACCAGCAGACTGGTGCGCGCATCCCCCCTAAGCAATCCCTTGTAAAAAAAAGGATCCGCGCTCCTGAGGCAACGACACCTCACCAACAAAATGTGTCCGCATCCCAAGCTTCCAAGACGGCCCAAGCAGGCAACCAAGGCAACCGAGATGGCCCAAGATGCCTCGAAGACGGTCCAAGATGGCCTCAAGGAGGCGCAATAGGGCCTCGAGACAGCCCAAGATGCCCCCACCGCCAGGAGGTTCACCAACAGGATCCGCAGACGCCAGCATCATGTATTTCCATGTGGCTTTTGTTTTAAGGTGTTCACATTCTCACCTTTTCGGGCTTCCGTCAGCCCAGGAAGCCTCCAAGACAGCCACGAGAAGGCCCAAGAGAGGCCCCCAGACACCCCCAAAGACGACCCCAAGAGAGCCCCACATCCGCCCCAGCGAAGGCCAAGACAGCCCCAACACGGCTCAAAGAAGTTCCATGAGAGATCCTCGAAAGGTGTCTCATGTGAAGGCCTTCCTCTTCCTCCTCCTCCTCCTCCTCCTCCTCCTCCTCCTCATCCTCCTCTTCCTCCTCCTCCTCCTCCTCCTCGTCCTCCTCCTCTTCCTCTTCCTCCTCCTCCTCCTCTTCCTCCTCCTCCTCCCCTCTCCTCGGCAGAAGTCTTGGAGCTCCAAGACTGGTGGTCTGGCACGACTTAGGGTTGTCAAGACGCAACAGTCACGTTGACTCGCGGTGTTCAATTATCCAGAACGGCGTTCTGGAACAATTGGAGATCGTCAGACGGTCCTCTTCCAATAGGGCACTTCCCTTGATGGAAATCAATCACTCTACTGTTTTTTACAAACGAAACTTGGAAGGAGCGTTGACTGCACCATCTCTGGTACGCAGTAGGTCAAAACTGGGTTTTTTCCTCCTCATTATCCTCCTGCTCTTCTTGCTCGTCAGCATCACCATCAACAGCTGCATCACCGTAATCATCACCATAATCATGATCAGACTCATCTACATAAGCGTAATTGTCACCACCACCCCCATCCTCATCCGAACCATAACACCACCTAAAAAACTGCATCCGCGCCATCATCATCATCATCAGCATAACCATCATCATCAGCAGCAACATAATCCACATCATCGTCATCATCATGACCATCGTCGTTATCGTCATCGTCATCGTCATCGCCGTCGTCACCGTCAGCAATATCATCAGCACATCATCAACAACAGCATCGTCATCATCACCATCGTTGGGGTCGTCACCGCCGCCGTAATAGTCGTCATCCTCGACGTCATATTTGTCGACGTCATCATGGTATCGCACCCACCCAGGTCGCCGACCCGCTGTGAAGTGTCCACGCGCATCAGATCATCAACACCATCATCTGCTTCACCATCATCACCATCATCATCATGATAATCATATTCAGCATCACCAGCGGCATCATCACCACCATCATCAGCAACAGCATCGCCACCGTCATCATCACCACCACTGTCATCATCCGTATCATCGTATTCTTCTTCATCAGCATCAACATCATCAGCATAATCAACATCAACTGCATCTTCACCATCACCGACCTTCATTATCGTCAGCATCATCATCACCATCACCATCATCATCACCACCATCATCATCACATTCACCATCAGCATCATCATCCTCTTCATCATCAGTACCATCAGCATCACCATCATCACCGCCATCGTCGTCGTCATCATCACCGTTCTCGTCGTCATAAGCATAATCCTCATCATCGTCATCATCATCATCACGATCGCCATCGTCGTCCTCATAAACCTCATCATTCTCATTATCCTCATCACAACACTTCCCAGCCTGGGGACACGAGGTCCCACACTTGTTGGTCTGCGGGTCGGGAGCGGGCCCCTTCCAGTCAAGAGCTAAACGGGACGCGGGGAGCCCGAATTGGGGAGACAGGGGGCGGGCGGGCGGGGCCTCAGGCGGCCGGAGGGCTCGGAAAACAGGCGGTGCCGAAGATCTTGCACAGGACAAAGTGCGCCATGGACTGGATCAGGGGGCGGGGTCCCACAGGGAAAGTGGATTGGTGTTGCCGTCATCGGCGCGCCAAGAACACCATCCTCGAGTGCTGCGTGAGGAGGGCCGTGAGCAAGTCAACGTCCGCGAGGTAGAGGAAGACACGAGGTCCCACACGTGACACCCTTCTGTGCCCCTCGAATAGTCGCCACCCAGAATGCTGGGCTGGCACGGTGGGACTTGCCACAAGCAGCTGGACACGAGCTGCACTCCAAACCACTTACCTTCGCAAGGAGTCTTCCTCTGCGTAGGGAGAGTCTGACCGCATCAAGCTTCAAACATCGATGCGCATCCCTCCGGCCGTGCGCGAAGGGAAGGGCTGCCGCGAGTTGTGCCATGACGTCGGCGACGTGGCTCTCGGCGAGGTGTCCGCCATCCGCGTCCAAGATGTGTTCGAAGAGATCCACGGACTCGGTCAGTCCTCGAGGACCGCGAAGAATTGGGCTCGCAAGCGCAGACGCCGACGACCGAGACAACAATGGGCGTCTTCAGTTTACAATTTGTTGCAACATGTTTGAGCAGGTGAGCAGATCTATCATCGTCGTCTTCATCCGTCGTCATCCTCAGGTATGGCGTTTGTTCACGCCTGCGTGCTTCAAGTGCTTCGTGTGGCGTTTGGCCACACCTCTGTGCTTCGAGCGTTTCGAGTGACGTTTGGTCACTTGTATTCTTCCTGCCAACGCGTCCACCTGGACGCAAGGCTTCTGTCTGTCTGTTTGTCATGCTCCCAATGATCTGCAAGGTTGCAAAATGTGAGGGTGCCTCAGCTCCGAAAGCACGGCGAATTCGGCATACAGCTCCTCCGCGTTCTGGGCGGTCTTCCACAGCCTCTTCAACATGAGGGGGGCATCCAAACCAAGCGCATCCCTCACGCGGTAGGAATCTGCGACACCTGTCTGTCCAACCTTCGCGGCTTGGTCATAAAAGAATCATAAAAATACCGTTTCTCACAGCTCATAGTGCCAGAGTCGGTCGTGGACACGGCTTCCACCGCTTCAATGTTAATCGGCGGCCGAGCATGCGCACAACACGAGCCCTCTCATTCACGATCAAGCCACTGCAGCAGACAACAAACAAGAAACAAGCAGGGTGTCCAAGCCGAACATATACTTTTGGCTGAAAAGCTTAGGCCCGAATGGCTACGGAGAAGCTGCGTCAGAAATCGAAATAGCTGCGTTGACCTGGCTCGCGCCAACCTTGTGAGCCCATGAGACGCCACAGGCCTGCTTGCTGCGGGAAGCGGGAAGATACGGGCGAGAGGGGGGGAGCACGGCTTAGGTGTAGTAACAGCGTCAAGGTGGAGCACCCTGTGGGGCGCGATCCGAATGAGGGGTGTGCCGAATTGCCCGGTGGGAGGTTGGCTTCCGGCGCGATCCGTATGGGGGGTGGGCTTCCGGCGCGATCCGCACGAGGAGTGTGCCGAATTTCCCACTGGGAAAATGGATTCCAACGCGATCCGCATGGGGGATGGGCTTCCGGCGCAATCCGCATGAGAAGGCCAACGTGCGAACGCGGCCGCTGAATGCGTAGGTGGAGCTTCGTCTCGGAGCACAACCCGCGTAAGGGGTGTGGCGAGTTGGGTGGTGGCGGTAGCGCGCCACCAGTGAGACCGTTGGTGGGCCCCCATTGAAGGCGCAATCTGCGCGAGGGGTGCGCCGGAGTGGGCCTGGGCACGCACGCGAGTCGCCGCACCGAGGCCACACTTAGAACACAAGCGGACACAAGCTTCCACACTGGGGCCGTAGCTGTGTCAAATTGGGTGAGTCCCTCATGGTGCGCAATTCGCGTCAGTGGTGAGCCGAACCGGGTAGCGGTGCCGCATGTGCACTCCCCCACTGGGGCCGTAGGTGGAGCCCCCGTTCGGGGTCGCGATCCGCAGGAGGGGCGTGCCGAATCGGGTGATAGTAAAACATGCGACCTCCCCCGCTGGGGCCACAAGTGGAGCTCCATATGGGCGCGCGATCAACGTGAGCGATGCGCCAAATTGAGAGGTGGCAACGCACGCGGGTGTCTTCACTGGGGCCATACATGGAGTTCCCTACGGGGGTGCGCTCAGCGTGAGAAGCATGCCAAACTGGGTGAAGGTCACGCGTGCGGGTGCGTCCGCAGGGGCCCTGAGTGGATCCCCCTATTGGGGCGCGATCCGCGAAAAATGGTGCCCCGAATCGGGTGATGGTACCACGCGCGCGCTCCTCCGCTGGGGCCACAGGTGGAACTGGCGCGATCCGCGTGAGTGGTGTGCCAAATCTGGCAGTGGTAGCACACGTGAATACCTCCAACGGGCACCCTGACAAGTTCGGCGGGGAGGCGCACAGCAAGGCCAAGGAGCTCGACGCGGTCGGCGGCAACACGCAGGACAAGCGCGCGCGCGCGCGCCTATCCAGCAACTGGCCGAGGCGGGAGGGCTGAAGGATGAGTTCTTCGAGAAAGAGCGGCAGCGGCACTCCAGGGGCGACGGGATGAGGCAGACCGGACTCGACGGGCTCGAAGTTGCTCCAAACCCAGCTGGCCGAGACAAACGCCGCGGTTTTGCCCCCTCCGTTCCGCCTCGAAACCGCGGCGGATCGCAGCACGAGGCCCGCCTCGGGCCATGCTGCTCAGGCCGCCTCCCCTCCTCCTCCTCCCCTGATGATGACGATGATGATGATGAGGAGGAGGAGGAGGAAGAGGAAGAAGAGGAGGAGGAAGAAGAAGAAGAGGAGGACGAGGAGGAGGAGGAGGAGGCGCACCCATTCTCCACTTCACGCGGCCGACGTGCCTCGCTCTCCGAAACGCGAGCTCGCGGCCCGGCAGCCCGTCCGCCCGGGCCGCCTGCCCCCGCGCGGCACTGCAGCCTGTCCGTCAGGGCCGCCCGCGCCCACG